AACTGATCATTACGTGATCATATAACAGAGTGAGTGAATAAGTAAGTGAACAAAGAATGAGTGACTGAATGAATGAGTGAGAAACAAATGAATGAATGAGTGAGAAACAAATGAATGAATGAGTGAGTGACTGAGTACGGCAGGAACAAGTGAAATAGTGAATGAGAAAACAACAGAGTGCGTGAGCAAAGAATGAAAAAGTGGATGAGTGAATGAATAAGTAACGAATGAATGAATGAGTAATTGAGTGAAGGAAAAACAAATGAGTGAGAGAAGATGTAACTTTTGAAAACATCCACCTTTTGTACTGTACGATGTTGATCGTATCGCCAGTCAGATGATCGCGTGACAGGGTGATGCCCGTCCTACCTACCTACCTACCTACCTACCTACCTACCTACCTACCTTCCTACCTACCTACCTACCTACCTACCTACCTACCTACCTACCTACCTACCTACCTACCTACCTACCTACCTACCTACCTACCTACCTACCTACCTACCTACCTACCTACCTACCTACCTACCTACCTACCTACCTACCTACCTACCTACCTACCTACCTACCTACCTACCTACCTACCTACCTACCTACCTACCTACACTCACAGAGAAACCGCAATGAATGCTTGCATTGTTGTACAATTACAACGTGATATAATAACTAGAAGGATCTGATGACGCGGGTGATGTTGGTTGTGAGATGATTTGTCTGTCTGGCAAGGTGTTTGTGTGGCAATGTGATGATGCGGTGGTGTAATGATAATGTGATGATGTGATGATGTTATCCCAATGATGATAATATTGGTGTTAACGTTGTAATGATAGAAATGAATAATACAAAAAAAGGAATGATGATTGATCTAGATAGTGGCAGCTCAATTTAAATTCAGACTTGGTAGTCCAGTAGCTTATCGATCGATGGTATGCGAAGTACGTACTGATGAGGAAGATGATGATGATGAAGATAAGGATGAAGATGAAGATGACAATGAAGATAATGAAGAAGGCTTCTTTAAAGGTTCAATGCATTAACCAAGTAAACGTACATCCTAAACACTGCCACGCTAATACATTCCTACACACAAATACCACACACACACACACACACACACACACACACTCAAATATTCATACCTACATTCATATTCATACATACATTCACACAAACACATGTAGATACACACACACATGTACGTGCACACATACATCCACACATACATCTATATGAACACGGGTACACACACGTACGCATACATTGTATATATTGTATAGTACTCTAAACAAACACCAAAATACACACACACACGTACCTACGCATACATTGTGTATGTGTGTGTGCAATGTGCATACTACACAAACACAAAAATACAAACAGTCACAGACACACACACAAAAGTTTCGTGTAGAAGTTCAATTTCAACCTCACAAACACCATTGTGATATGAAAACACAGACATGGGAACGAAATTGTTATCAAATCAAATCTACAACGACACGTATCGGTTAGTTTGTCTTCTCCGTATATTTACACACACACACACACACACACACACACACACACACACACACACACACACACACTCACACACACACACATATATATATATATATATATATATGCATAAGTTGAAAAAGATAACAAATATATAAATTGATAGATTAAGAAAAAAAATATAACATAAAACAGAATGTAAGAAAAAGAGAGAAAGAGAGAGAGAGAGAGAGAGAGAGAGAGAGAGGAAAATAAAGAGAGAGAAAATCGCTAGCATTTCATTATTATAGTGAATAAGAAACAATAGAAAAACTACTAAACCAACCTGTACCATTCTAATCCCTTGTTGAAGTGCTTGTCGAAGAAATGACTTTCGAATCGGAATGCTCTGACGTGAGGGTGGAGGTCGAGGAAACTGAGGAGGGCCTTCGTGCCCCCCTTCTTTACACCCGCGATGATTACCTGTGGAAGTTTCGATGTCAACGTTTCTGTGTTGTTGTTGTTGATGATGCTGTTGTTGATGCTGTTGTTAAAACTGTTGTTGGGGATGTTTTTGTTGTTGATGCTGTTGTTGAAATTGTTGTTGTCGGTTGAGTAAATTGTGTTGATGTATTTTTTGTTGTTGCTGGAACGATTGCCATCGGCATTCTTGAAACCGTCACCTGCACTGAGGCCTGTAATGTTGACAAGCAGGGATATGCGATGGTCTCTCTCCTTATCATTTGGCACTGCAAGCGTTGCTCCGTTTCCAGCCCAACACATCAAAATTGTGAAAACTAAAATATTGCAGATTATTGACAATCGTTGACTCGATGATAACAATGACCTAAAAGTTGGTAACGTAGTTGATGAAAATGGCGAAGATGATGGTGACGACGACGACGACGATGATTTCATTTGTTTCCACTTTTTAGGTAGGTTAAAAAATTTGGATATCATAAGATTATGAGATTTTTTTTACATAGCTATGGCATAACAAAGATTCCAACGTCCGCTGTTCATTTAATTCGCAAAAGTGGGTAATCAATTAACTAAATAAATAACTAATTAACTCATTATTTAAACAATCTACTAACTAATTAATTTAACTAAATAATTAATCATTTAATTGAATAATAAGTATCGGATTGAAATAATTTCAAACAACTTCCAATGTTGTACCTCCTCAGTTCACAAACGACCCACCGCAACCAACACGGCAACACGCATCGGTGCATATATATGCCTGTAAGAAACAGAAAATCCATTTATATTTATACATACTCCAGCCAACCAAACATATTGTTTAGTCGTTTGTTATATACGGTATGTAAATAAATGTATATATGCATGCGTGCGTGCGTGTGTGTGTGTGTGTGTGTGCAAGTTCGTTTGTGTGTGTTGTGTGTGTTGTGCGTGTGTAATACATGCACACATACAGGCATATATACAAACTCACACAAACTAGTGTGTAATCAAATTGTCTATATATTCGCATCATTGCCTATTGCCTATCGACAATGCCTATAATTAATGTAAAAAAAAACTGTTGATGATTTCAAAATTATCGTGTTATTATGAATAATAACATTGATTACTGCAACTTGAACATAGAGGTTTATGATTTTATCTCTCCGTGTAATACTAACTTTATTGCTTTGATCTCTCTCTCTCTCTCTCTCTCTCTTTTTCTCTCTCTCTCTCTCTCTCTCTCTCTTTTTTTTTCTCTCTCTCTCTCTCTCTCTCTCTCTCTCTCTCTCTCTCTCTCTCTCTATGGCACAAATAACGTGTATGAGAGAAATATTGTGATCATTATTTTTATACACAAAACCCCCCCCCCACACACACACACGGCAAACACACACACGCACGGCAAACACACACACACACGCGGCAAACACACATACACACATTCAGTTTTCAGTAAAAATTATTGACAAAAATCATCATTCCATTTGAAGGCATAACTTTGTCTTGTTAAAAAAATTTTCATCTCATGTCAATCCGATTCATTTTAGAAAAGTTTTTATTTAGAAGTTGACAATGTTTAATGTCTTATGACTATTTTTTATTTGGATTTTGTTTTTTTTAAATGATCCAGATATAATATATAAAATTTGACGTTAACTCCAAACTAAATTAATTTATTACAACATTTTGTTTATATTTGAAATTAAATTAAAAACATTTCATTGATATTTAATTACATTAACATTGGTTTCAAGGCGATATGTGAAGTGTCATACGGTCACATTACGTAATGTTAATCTGTGCATATTTTTACGAGGGATTTGTTTCAATTAGTGACATTTCACACACACGCGCGCGCACACACACACACACCTAATAGGAAGATAATCACTCTGATTGATAGTTTGATACTGTATATATGACAAAATAAAAGTCTGGAATTTATCAAACCTACAATGTATTCATTATCAGGATAGATAACTCGCAGATAGATATTTATATATCTAGATATATCTAGATATATTCATTATGGATTCAGAAAAAAAACATTGAAAGAAATACCAACCCACCATATTACATGCATATAACATATTAATTGGTTGTTATGATTGCTTTATAGCCGTCAATAAAAACTTTTGTGGCAGCGTTGAATCATTTAGGATGGTCTCTGAATGGAGTCATGTTGTGCTTGCATCTGATGCACATAAAAACGAACTCTTTCTCCGAGTTTTCGATGTTGTTTTGAGTTTGGTTAAACATTTTTATCGCATGTGTAACAAATATTCAACACAGCAGTGTTAGCAGGGATGATGTGTAGTTATAACTATGTTCATGTCTTTGCAATGTTGCATTTTGAAATGTATATCTTGGTTGATGAACGAACATTAAGTTGACAAGTTTGATAGTTGAGAGTTCAATTTTAGGTTTTGAAACAAATTGGATATATTTTTTTTATGGAAAACGAATTTAATATAAAAAAGTTTTAATTTGCCTATAATTATTAGCCTTCCAAAATTTTTTAATCGATAGAGTGGGCGCTGTGGTAAACGTTCTCGTCTCTTCTTGTGTAGCTGATGAATTTATAATTATTAACTTAACTTTCACCTTAATATATATATTTTTTAATTAAAATATTTGAGATTAAAAAAAATTAAAAAAAAACATCATAAATAAATAAACTTGGAGATAAGTAAATAAATAACAAGACGAACTTGATGAAAATGGGCCTTTGTTGTAAGCTTCACCCGATTGTTTCAAGTAACCTGATTAAATCAATCAAATATATCAAGAGTATTCTTTTGAAGTTTTAAGAAAAATTTAGTTCTGTATAAGATTTTGTTTAAATAATATGCTATAGATTAAAGGTAAATTATATAGGAATATTTGTAAGAAAGATATTAATTTAGACATTTATGTGTGAGAGGGTTAAAAAACAATATATGTACAATCAAACGATCAATAATAATAATAATAATTCATAACAAACTTCTGACAACAAAGAAGACAGCAGAGAATAATAGGAGGACAGGAATGGCGAGAGTTATGACGAATGAGTAGCCCGGTACGTCACTGTTGGATTCATCTTTCCAGTGGGTAGGTGGCTGGTGCGTGTTTGTGACGGTTGTCGGCAAAAATTTTTTTAATATAATTCGCATCTTTTTGACAGATGTAAAAAATAAATTATTCAAATTCAAGCTTCTAATGAAATTAGTAAGTTGATACAATCTAGCGTTTGGCTAGTCTGGCATCTAGATCTGTAACAGATTTGAAAATTGATAATTATATCTGAAACAAATACAATGGACTCATTATCACTATAAAAGCATGCCATTTGAAACTCTAACTTTTTAGACGGCATTCGACGTGACAGCTTGCCTACCAATCATATTGACCGCCATGCAGTTGACTTCATAGCTGCCAGCTACTTGATATTTTACCACGTCATTATCTACTCTGTAAATGTGCTTCGATGATGAAAAGTTATGTTGATGGCTCTTGATGGTGAACTTCCATTGATGCGCTGGCGGGAAGGTTGCTGACAAACAGCCTTCCTGTGCTGCTGTTTCGGTTAACTTCGCATATTAAATTGTGATTAAATTGTGATTTAGTTTTTTAAAATTTTTTGAAACAAAAGACCTATAATTAATTTTTCCCATTACGAACGTGCATAAAATCAAACAATGAAGCAACGCTGTAACCATCCTCATCGCTTATTCAACTATTCCATACGAGACTCTTTCAGCGTACCACCTCATTCTTGTTTACAAAAAATTTATTTTCAACACAGACAGTCATTCATAACATTTTAATAAATATGTAGATATGTCGTCTATGGAAAGTTACAAAAATGACATATTCTCGTGTGAAATGGAGACATTCCATAAGTCAAGGTTAACTGATAATGACTTAGTAAAGATTAACCAAAAGTTAACGAAGGTGCGAACCAAATTCATTATCTTTGTTTAATTTACATTCTGAAGTAGAAAAGGTATCATCAAACAAACAATTGTGATTTGAAGATAGCTTGATTATACCACATACTAATTGTACCACATCCTTGGTCCTAATTCTATATTGGACTATATACGTTTTACAGATTCGTTATGTAAGTCGACCGACCCCGACGAAATGAATGTCTAGTCTGACGATGTTGTGGTCTAGTCTCGCGATGTTGTTGCCTAGTCTCGCGATGTTGTTACCGCTAACATGACTCTAATGCTGTCTTTAAATTACTTAAAGGCAATCAAACATGTCGAATACGAATGTATAAAAATATTTTTTAGTGTGGATATAACTGAGAAAGTACTGAACAATTTGTAAAAAGCTGCTTATCATCAATATATATATATATATATAATCCGGTACGATGTCGCGAGCGGTTTGCATTAACGAGTTATTGTGTTATTTATTTAATAATTCTGACAAAATTGACGATGCGGAATTCATTTACGAAATAATGGATTTCTATAATTGTGAAAATATTAGAATAGCAAAAAAATACTTACCAACGATCTAGATGCATTAAATCTAGAAAAAGATGATAAAATAAAGCCAAACAGTTCTGGAAATTCTAAAAAAGACAAGGTGTGTGATTTAATACTGACAATAAAAACTATTCTGAGCAACAAAATTGAGAGCAAATTGCCTCAGTATGCTGCTCTCAACCTTTTTAAAATTCCAAGCTCAAAAAAAGCTAAATTTGAGTCAATTCTTGACGAAAAGTTAAAAAAATTAGAACTATTTATTGAACAAATGCTAGCTTCTTTTATCGACAATTTTTAAAAAATTTTCAATTTGATTTCATCGCGATATTGATGATGATGATTGTGACCTGACTGATTAAAAAGCATCAAAGAAAATTTTTAAAATAGGATGGAGAATTTGTTATATTGGAATATTCGTATATAAAGCGAGCAAAATTTTAATATGAAAGCGCTTATAACTCTATGCATATTGGCTCAACTTGGCTTGGCTCGTTTGGAATTGGATGTTTAGCAAGGTGTGGTCTCAAACTATTTTGAATTCTCCCCGAAGTAACTAGAATCCATGTATACAAATAATTAATAAGATTATATGTTTATATAAAAAGCAATATAGCAGATTCAACCAGCCAATCAGAAAGTTTCGAAGGCGTTCGTTCGATGACGTCAATTTAGTACGGTTAGCATTGTGGTTGAGACTGTATAACAGTGTAGTACATACATTAAATAAGTTTTTCACTGATGTGAATTATTGAAATGATGAAAATGTATGGTTGAATACAGTTATATAGAGTTATATAGAGTTATATAGAGTTCTGTGCGAGGCCTTCAACCTCATTGGCAAGGAACTCACCACCTCATCCGCCAACGTAACCGTCAAGGTCCAGCAAGGTCTGCCGAAGTAAATTTGTGAACTCTTACGTGGTCATTAGAGTTTGATGAGTCTACACCACATTTTGAATTTAAAACAGATATTTGTAATCGTGTGTATGTTTTTTTTTAATTATAGGAAGTGTTAATATCAAAGGTGAGAGAATTTGCGTCAAACTTCAATTAATTACATACATCATCCATCGTAGCATTACAGGCATATTACTACCACTACTACTACTACTACTACTACTACTACTACTACTACTACTACTACTACTACTACTACTACTACTACTGCTGCTGCTGCTGCTGCTGCTGCTGCTGCTACTACTACTACTACTACTACTACTACTACTACTACTTCTACTACTACTACTACTAATAATAATAATAATAACAGTAATAATAATAAATCACGTTTCATGAAATTCAAATTTTTGTAACTGGCGTTTTTATTAAAAAATCCTTGATTGACAAACGCCGACCGAAGTGAGATCAAGTGGATACACCCTCGTGTCTGGCACGTTGATCGGGCTCTTTTTGGTGGCCATCCTCATCGGCGTGGCCACTGTCGTCGTGTTACGTGGGTTATTATTCTTCGAAAACTTCTATGATTGAATGTTTGTTGGCGGTCCAGCAAACCTCGCGAATATTTTTTAATTATTTTTTAATTCATTATTTAATTTTTTATTATTAATCATTATTATTATTATTAATTATTTAATTATTATTTAATTAATTATTATATTTTTTAATTCATTTTTTCCGTTCTCTCGTAATTCAATATTCGTTTATTTGGTTCACTCATTGGTTCATTCATTTAGTTCATTCAATTTTATTTTTTGGCTGGTTGATTGATTAAATAATTAGTCGATTGGTTGGTTGATTAGTTGATTAAATGAATAATTTATTCAACGGCTGGTTGGTTGGTTGGTTGGTTTATTGCTTGCTTGTTTAATAAATGTTTGGATAGATGGGTGGTTAGTTGGTTGAACATTCGAATTTCTTGGTTGTGTGTTTGGTTGATTTGATCACGTCTATACTCACAATGTATTTTAATGTGTGTACAGCAGGCGCACGTTGTGAGACGCAAAAAGTTGTCTCTGTATAGAAAATTTCTATGTGAATGCTTGTTCTTTCTCAGGCAGTTACATTACGTTTTATTTTAATAAAAAAGGTGACGGTTCACATAACAATGAAGAATTTCTTTTACAAGCAAATTAAATTTTAAGCGATGCAATTATATTATTATGCATAATATAACATGAGAACTATAAACAATTTTATACGGTAACTCATTGTCAAAGTTTACTAATAACAAAATATTGAAGGATAATGTTTATAGTTGTCCCTTGTAGAACTTAAATCATGTTATATTTCATTGTATGTAATTAATCATTTTTAAAAGATTTAATGAAATACAAACAACATAGAGAAAGAAAGAGAGAGAAGGAGAGAGAGAAGGAGAAAGAGAGAAATCTTAAATCGTATCACACGTAAATATTGATTGCAATCAAAAGTTATCTATAAAAAAAATTACTAAATCATTCATTTGATATTCATCTGAAAAGTTAATAAGCCGAGTATAGGTAGAACATGCATCTAAGCAATGGAAGGGGCAGGGGTTGCCGTGATATGGGCAGCCCTACCATCAGTTGATAGCATGGAGCCACTGTACATACTCACAGTTGACGCTTTATCAGCGTTTTCAGCTTTCAAATCTAATTAATACATACGATGTTATCAATGAATGTAATGTAATGGTTATGATTCAACGTATTGTAATACATAATACAATTATATGGTGTTAGGACATTAGATTAATAATATGAAAAACTATAGAACATCAGAATAATGAAATGGACGACAGCTTGCAAGTTACAACTCAAAGCATAAGTGACTCCTAATCAAATTAAACTGATTGGTTTCAGCTGGTCAGTGCTACGGACAAAATTTTAATCAGATCACATACTGATACACAGAAAGTATGATGACAGCCATTTATTAAATCAGTAGACTAGCTATTTAATTTAATGGTAACACAACAATCTAGTGAACAAGCTAAAGGACTATAATGGATATAATTACAATAATTATTATTCAATGTTAATATAATAACAAATAATAATAAACAATAATCATTTAATAAAATATTTAAAAAATATTAAGTTGAAACAAAAGAATGGACCAGTGGCCGGCACAATAACGCCATCTTCGGACTGGATGGAGCCACCGTACATCGTCACCGTCGACGCTTTCTCCATCACGGCCGCTTTATACGTGACGAATGATGGCCATGGAATAAAGAATGATTAATTTGAAATATATTTTAACAAAATTTTTGGACTTTCAGACAAACCTTTAAAAATATGTGAAATTTCCTTAAAAGATAAGCTTGAACATACATTTGAAATTTGTATAAAATTAAAAAACTTACCTTTAGCATTTTTGTCTGAAAAATTTTATTGAATAAAAATTAATTCTAAAAAAAATAAATGTAGAAAAAAACGTTGAAAAAGCTGTACATATTATTTGTTACTATTTCTCTTCTTCTTACTATTCAATCAGTCAATCAATCAATCAATCAATCAATCAATCAATCAATCAATCAATCAATCAATCAATCAATCAATCAATCAATCAATCAATCAATCAATCAATCAATCAATCAATCAATCAATCAATCAATCAATCAATCAATCAATCAATCAATCAATCAATCAATCAATCAATCAATCAATCAATCAATCAATCAATCAATCAATCAATCAATCAATCAATCAATCAACCAATCAATCAACCAATCAATCAACCTATTAATCAACCAGTCAACCAATCAACCAATCAATCAACTAACCAATCAATTCACCAACCAATAAATCAACCAATAAATCAACCAATCAATCAACCAATCAATCAACCAATCAACCAATCAACCAACCAACCAATCAATCAATCTTACTCTTAACATGATTTGTAGGAAACGATTTCAATATTCAAACTTTTAACATTGATAATTACGCAGCAACCAAATAAACATAAAATTTTATTGTCACATTAGTGAATCATTTTTTTTTTCAAATTATTTTCTAAAAATATTGCGTGGGGGGAGGGAAAAACTGACCTTTGCGGACGACGACAGCGGCCACGCCGATGAGGATGGCCACCAAAAAGAGCCCGATCAACGTGCCAGACACGAGGGTGTATCCACTTGATCTCACTTCGGTCGGCGTTTGTCAATCAAGGATTTTTTAATAAAAACGCCAGTTACAAAAATTTGAATTTCATGAAACGTGATTTATTATTATTACTGTTATTATTATTATTATTAGTAGTAGTAGTAGTAGAAGTAGTAGTAGTAGTAGTAGTAGTAGTAGTAGTAGTAGCAGCAGCAGCAGCAGCAGCAGCAGCAGCAGTAGTAGTAGTAGTAGTAGTAGTAGTAGTAGTAGTAGTAGTAGTAGTAGTAGTAGTAGTAGTGGTAGTAATATGCCTGTAATGCTACGATGGATGATGTATGTAATTAATTGAAGTTTGACGCAAATTCTCTCACCTTTGATATTAACACTTCCTATAATTAAAAAAAAACATACACACGATTACAAATATCTGTTTTAAATTCAAAATGTGGTGTAGACTCATCAAACTCTAATGACCACGTAAGAGTTCACAAATTTACTTCGGCAGACCTTGCTGGACCTTGACGGTTACGTTGGCGGATGAGGTGGTGAGTTCCTTGCCAATGAGGTTGAAGGCCTCGCACAGAACTCTGTAAGTGCCATGCCCACTGATGAACACCTCGTTATCCTTCGCAGTGAACTTTGTGGGTACGTTCTTCATTTTGATCCTTTTTGTCACGTTGAACTTCCAGATGGAGGCTGGAGGGACAGCGTCGGACAGGCAGGTCACCTTGCCCGCGGTGGCCTTCGAAGTGTCCAATGTCACGTCATGTACCGCTACTGTTGTTTGTTCGTACGTTTGTGTCTGTGTTTGTGTGTGTCTCTGAGTGTGTTTGTGTGGTGTGTGTGTCTCTGGGTGTGTTTGTTTGTGTGGTGTGTGATTGCGTGCGTGTTTGTGTGGTGTGTGTTTGTGTGTGTGTTTGTTAGTGTGTGTGTAATGAACATTCGTCAAATTTTATGTCTGTATTTAAATTTATATATGTACATAATAAACAAAAATTAATTTTTTACATGTTTATGTAATACGTGGTTTTGAAGTTTGCCTTATTAAACAAATAAGTATTGATTGAAAATGTTATTAACTGGTTATAATATATATTACGGACGATAATAAACTGATGAAAAAAAAACAGAAATGAGTCATGCGATTCACGTGAACACACAAGAAGGTCTATAAGAATGTTTAAAATAATCACCTGCCAGAAAATCTTTTGCCGATAATTATTTTTTACAAAAATAAAGTCATTCGTGTATAACTGGCAAGATAAGAACACTTATAATGATAACTTTATGGTGACTTGATGGTTAAACGAAGCCAACCAACTATAAAGGGGATAATCGACCCAGAACAAGGAAACACCGAAATTGAAGTAGTCCACTTTCACCTGAATTTCAAAAGGTGGCAGCTTCTTATCGAAATTGCACTTTGCAATCACCTCCCCTTTCTTCATAATATGTTTATCAAATTCGTGAACATTATTATTTTTCAAATTATAAGAAATGTCCTATTGCCCTATTTCTAATTAGTGCAAATATTGAAACTATGTAATATGGTAAAGTTATATTTATATAAATTATATATATACTGTGAACATACAAGCATCTGGGCACATACACAATATGTATTTATGTATGTATATATGTATATATATATATATATATATATATATATATATATGTATATATATATGTGTGTGTGTGTGTATTATATAAATTATAGCTTTACCGATAATTTGTTTATAAAATAATTAAATGATACATTAATGAGATAATAATTATTGAAAATGTCTTTTTTAACGAACAATGTAATAATTAATATCGTAGCTGCAGATTTGAGTTTATTTTACATTAGACTGGGGTTACATGATGAAACACAACTGATTGATCACCAGATATCTGAACTGATCCTCCTTGACCACCTCATCGGTTTGAACGCTGATGTGGCCGGCATCCATGGCGTTCGCCACAAACGACAACTTAATGGAATCGTTCTGGAATTGTTTGTACTTAAAGAGAATCTGACTGACCCAGGTGCGGTCGTAGTAGGATGGCCTGCTTGATATATTGCTCTCAACTGGTTGTTCAAAATTTACATTTTGAAATTTTAAATACTGAAATTAGTATAGCGCTGTCGTATTTGTGTTTTATGTGGTTGAAGAATAATAATGTTTATTATATTTAGCACATCATATGACGACCTTCTATAATAGCGAATACTTTAAAACTGGTATCGTCAGTTTCGATGTAACAGCTGATGAGCATGGAATATGGAGAGGCAAGCAGGTGGTCCCTGGAGAGTTTCAGGGCGTCTCCACCCTCCGTACATCCATCGTAGTCACTCAGGTCCTCATTGTTCGTCGCACTTACCAGTTTCAGCACGTAATCTGACATTAGAAGATTATTAGGGCGAATACAGGGAAACAAATTTTGTGCAATTTTACTTAAAAGTTTTATTCAAGATTTCAAGTTTCTTACAATCTTCGGTTTCCGATTTGATTAGCTGGAAAAAAATGAGCAGAATATAAATTACCATGCTAACATATATTGTTTACACTTTACTTACATAGTTTGTTTTTCATGTGGATGTTTACAAACCTAGCGCAAACAATACGTCAAAACGCTTTCATGGTTTTTTGAAATTAATTTTCATAAAAATATTTAAATAGTTCATAAGATTTAAGTAATAATAATAATATTAAAGGATAGCCGATCTGAGCATAAATTTTTAAATTTATTGACATATGCAATCACGAAGTTGACCCACTGGATTATTTTCTACAACCAACATTTACAAAACAATCAACTTAAAAACTGACATTTTCAAAATTATTGAATCTTGTAACTTTTTAAAATGAAAAAATTTAGAAAAAGTCAAGATTTCAAATTTATCAGTAGATTGCTCAAACTGTTCAATTTTTAATCGCAGTAATACGATAACCCTTAAACACACAAAAATTTATAATGATTAAAAACCAAAAAATTTTATTTTTGAGAGATTTGAGCTAGTTTCAAATGGAGGTCGACGTCATGTGAAATTTCATTCTTTTCGGATTCTAGTGCTGTCGATTCTTCACTTACAGCCTCGTTATCTGTCGCATGGTGTGGTAGTCAGGTTTGTGTAAGTTGTGTGCGCGTGTGTTTGTGTGTATGTGACGTGCGTGTGTTTTGTGTTTGGGTGTTCTTGACATTGTTGTACCTTATATTATTTATAAACACATTTGGTCCTTAAAACCTATCACCATTAATTTCTATGATTTTACTTTTATAATAAAAAAAAATTGTCTACAGTTAAGTTGTGCCAAAACATACGAACGAATATTTTAAAACTCCAACTTGGTTGTGATTGTATAAATAAAATGAGACACATGAAACCGCCGAACATAATGTAATACCCATAATTACTTTGCAACGAATGGAGGACTACGTTGTCGTCGTGAACGGCTGCTCGTTGCAAGAAAAATTTTTACCAATTTTATTTTAATTTTTATTAATTTTAATTTAATTTTTATTAATTCTAATTATTTTCAATTCAATTTTTATTGATTTAATTTATTTTTTTTTAATTTAATTGAATTTACGACAACAGCGACGAACTAATTTTGCAATATTAATATACTACTGCTCTATCGTTTCTAGTTACACACCGATAATGATGATGATGATGATAATAATAATAATAATAATAATAATAATAATAATAATAATTGATACTCGATGAGGTGATCATGGTCTTCCTCAACCGTCTTCTCAACCTTACCCGTTTTTTGACTCCTGAAAATTTTTTTAAAATTTGGTTATTAATAATGTAAAGTAGGGAAAAGTGAGACGTTCTTAAAATAACGCAAAATAACTCTAGTATTTAATTTCTTTTTTGTAATTGTGTTTAATGTAGGAAGCAATGACATGATGATGATGACGACTATGACTTTCAATATTAATATGGATGGCTGTGGCATGGCAGCACAAGAACTCACTGTTCGTAGCGAAGAGGATTAGTAAGGATGCAGCCAGGAAGATAAAGAAAATTGGGATTAAGAGGGATATGGCAATCTTTTCTGATAGCTCCATATCTGACAAAAAAATGTTTTATAATTTTCATTAGAAAAAAACGGATGGAAAGTACTCCAGTCTTGCAGTTGCACGTGGTTATGTGTTGAATGAAGCAACCATCATGCAAAATGATACCATACCTCCAATTTCTTTTTCTGGTAATTGAAATAAATAATAATTTGAGTTTTATCATCATTTATAATCGTAAAATTATTTTGAGAAATTACTTTTTGTTATTCAAAAAAGTGAAAAAACCAAACTTGTACCTAAAAATGTTTTGATCTATGATAGAGACAAGATACGAACAATTAATTATTATCGAACCCGAGCCAACGGTGACATTCTGGACGACCCAAGCTGAACTCTGCTCATTGCCGATGCTGTTGAAGGCAGTGCAGTTGACTTGATAGACACCGTCCTCTTCGAAGTGGAGCAGATTGTCGTCAGTTGTGTACTCCCTCATGTCCTTGTGCGTCAAACCGATGATGCTAAAACTCCAGCGATGGGCGGCAGGGTTGGAAACTGAGAGGCACTCGTACGTGTGCGAATCATTCTCGTTGCCCACCAGGCTTACGTTCTGAACGTCTTCTTAAAAATTTTTGTTTCAATTGTTCTAATGTTTTGAAAGTTTGTATAAGTTATGAATGCCAACAATATTTTGTGACAGATGTACGGTGGGTGATTTTTAAAGTAATGAAAAAGTATACATAGAATTATTGTCAGTTGTTAGTGGATGGTCGTTAGTGAAAGTAAAATAATCTAACGGTAAGGATAATAATTGATGGAGTACAAATGAATGTGGTTCTTGTATTTCTTCAACTTCATCACTATCCTGTATTCACTGATCCTCCGTTGAAACGAACTTTTAACAGTTATAAAGCCAACCTAGAATAAATTTTGTCGCTTTGCTGCTAAATTAAAACTGTTTTATTAAAACTGACCGTTCGCGAATATTATTTCTGGAAGTAATAGATCAATTTAATATTGTCAAATTTAAGCAGAAAAAGTGTATTACTATCAAAAATAAGAGTTTCAGTTAATATAGCCTCATCTTATTTATTCCATTTTTTTTACAAATGTAGTATTCACATAATAAAAAAGTATACTTCTCAAAATTCTGATATAAACGAAGCGCGTGATCATTTAAATAAATAAGATCTTACGGTGCGTATTGTGAGTTTATTTATAATTTCCACTTGACTTCTTGCAATGATCGTTGAAGAGTTGAATGCATATGGAATCTTTGGTGTGATGACCACTTCCGTCCTTTCGTCGAGAAACTTTTTGTACATGAGTGTTACAATGGTCACCCACTGGCCGCTACTGTACTGGGCGATGCTTTCTATCTTCCTTCCGGCTGATCGATCAATTTTAATTCATTTATTTTTCTAAAAAATATTTTTCTTTTAATTTCAAGTAATTTTTGACTTATTCTAGCGAGAAACTTTGCAGGAGCTAACTTTCGATGAGGACGTAGACATCGTAGGGCTCACCACCGCCGCTGGTGATGCAGTTGAAGTGTACCGAATGATTGAACTTCTCCAAGTTCAGTTGGTCAAAGTTAATTTGCACCCCTCCTTCACTGCATTCTTTGAAATTTTTCAAATTAATGTCATTCGTTGAGTTGAACAATTTCAGTAAAATCCCTGTTGAATAAAAATTATTCAACAAATAAAATAATTTTATTGAAATTTATCCGCTCCAAATATCATCTAGCGTTATTATTTTATATACGGGTCTACATGACTATTTATATAGCACCATCTAAATCGTTATTTAGGTTTTCTATAAAAGCAGCCCGATAAATTCTTTCTTAGAAGCAGTTTAGAAACTATCCAAAAATTTATTAGCTCTAAAACTTCGCTGCATAAGAAAGAATTAACACGTTCGCATGTACGCAACGCACATGCCACGAATCGGCCACCGATCATTCATAAATTGACATCAAGTAGGAATTTAATTGTCTTAGAAGGGGCCTGAATTCAAATAATTAGGTAAATGATTTTTAAGAATTATTATTTCTCTCTTATTGAATCATTTCAACATCATGCAATTTAAATTTTTTGATGATTTCAAAATTACGCGCTTAAAAGTCAAACGTGTCGTTTAGCAAATGCTCTAGAAATAAAACTTTGTGTTAATCTATTTTGGAAATAAAAGTGCGAAAATATAAAACAACGGTCCACAATTTTTAAGGAACAAATCATTAATATTGGTTGTCTATAGTTCAATCATTAAACCTTTTGCATCAACTTTCGGACTAAGCGAAAAGAAAGTGGAGGAGGTAATAAAGACGAGGAAGATGTTTTGCATTAGGAGAGCTTCATGTGCGTGTCGGTCTGCATGTTTCAACAATTATTATCTCGTTTTTTTGCTTCGTTAATTAGCATTTGTTGGTTTGCTCGTTCCGTTCGTTGTGCTTGTTCATTTTATTTGTTTATAATTTATTTGTTGATTTTTTTAATTTCATATATTCAATGAGCGCGTCATGTAGTTCTTGACTTTATTCAGCTGCACTGCTATGTTATTTTTATGTTTTATAGTAAACGAAATGTAACTGATTGGCGACGGTTGGTTGAGATGGTTAAAGCAAAACTGTGAATTATTTAACAGCTATTTTATTCTATACAAAAAACGTAACATTCACATAATTAGTTTAAAAATGAATTGAAAAAGTAAATTGGTTTAGCATTAACACATTAAATTCAATTCAATCCCAAATATTTACGATATAATTAAACAAACGCGTTTCGATTGATCTTTTGCATAATAAGTTTGAAATCTAATTTCTTATTTAAAAACGAATTTTGTTATAAAAATCATTTTAATAATAACATCTTTTGCCTATCTAAAGATTTGAAATTATGTAAAAAAAAACAATTTTCCTTTTTATATAAATCATTTTTAGGTCTTTTAAATTTCAAGCTGAAAAAAAATAAACCATTCATCAACACATTTGCATGCATTTGTGAGAACTACCAACGTACCCGAAATATTTTGTGCAGAAGAATTCGAACCTGGTCATTGCGCCATGGTTTTATAAAGTGATAGCGCGATATGAGCATATCATTCACTGATGTCGACCAATCTCAAGTTTGATATGATTTTCAGAATTTGTTTAACTATATAAACTTTATTAAATCAGCGCTGAAATAAATTAACTCAGAAATGTTAACGCATTAACTAAATTTTAGGCTGTGGCATTTTATGCAATTTTTAGGATATATTTAAAAGTAATGAAAGTAGTTAAAAACGCTTTCAAGTAAAGTTTAGTTCATGCATACATTAAGTAGGAGTTCGTGTGCGTTCTTTCAATTCCTATCTAAAATAATTCTATGGCCATATATATAGAATATTCCTTATATATTCTATATATATGCCTACGGCATAATTCATAGTTTCAATTCAAGCTCATTTCCTGTGCACATTTCGTTTCAGCAATTCAGCACATCACTTTTTGAAAACATGTTTGAACGAAATACAAAAGTAAACTTGCCTGATAGATTTTCTTGTTAAATAAATTAGTTTGTTAAAATTGTTATTCCATTTGTTATGTTGCGAGGTTTTTAGTTTAAAAATTATTTGTAACAATTTTTATCGGTTTAAAAATAAAAAATAAAAATTGGAAGATAGTCATGGAAATAGCTGAACTTGCACTGCCCAACAAGAAGAAGGCAGGGGACAACGCCAATGAAGATGGCACATATTCCAATGCTGAAGATTATTACGTTGATGTGTGCCGCATGAACGGCTTGTACCCACTGCCATACATCATCTCACAATTCAAAAATAAAAGATTGGAATTGAGTGTTGGCAAGTTAAGGTTTGTATTGTAATTGTAGCAATATTATTAATAATACTTAATTAAAAAGTAATTATTAATTACAAAATCAATGAATTGTTTATAAAAATATTAAAAATTAAGTTAAATAAAAAAATAATTTAGATTAGAAAATGTTAGTTCTAAATTTTTATTTTGAAAGTTGAAATAAAAAATGAATTTATTTTATATTTTTCATATATTATATAATATAATATAATTATAATGATAATCTCAAGTCAAAATTATGTATGGAAAATTCAAAATCAAATTTATTTAATATTTAATCTTTGGTTGACATGATGTGTCATTTATTGACTTGGAATTGTTTAAATAAAAAATGGTAAATGTTGAGATGTTTCATAATTTTGTAAAACAGTAAAAATATTCAGTGCTTTTTTTTAGATTAGAGGAATGGGCTGTTATCATGTGCACGGTGAAGCAATGCTCACATTTGGAAAGTATCACCATTAAAGGAATGAAATATAACTACGATGAACTAAGTTCGTTTTAATTTTTAATTTTTTGCTTCTGCATATTCAATGGAATTTTATGTTTCTACTTTGAAAAAATTTAGTAAAAGGTTGTTATTAAACTACTCATTTTGTGTTTTCAATGTTATATTACATAAAAACTGATCATAATGGTATATAATTGTATCATATGTTCATTTGGTTCGTTTTTAATTGAATTAAATGAGATTTGAAAATAACCTTTCAACAAGCTTTAAGAAATGATGAAAATACTTTGATAAATGATCAGAAAGCAGCAAGAACAGTCAGAAAAAGCAAAAGATGTTAATGTTAAGGGAATATGTTTCGAGGCTGAGCAAAGCCATTCGAGACTGCCTTTGTATCAGTTCCTACCTCACCAACCTAACACTGGATACTCTGCCATTGAGTGATCGAGATGTTGAAGCCATCAGCAAGGTTTTTTATTATAAATCTTTTATATTATAATAACATTCATAACTGTCATTAATTTGCAATAAAATTGACTATCACTAATTTATTCTAATTAATTAATTAAAATATTTTAAAATCTATGTCACAGGGTTTGTATGTAAACAGAAGTTTGGTTTATCTTTCACTTGAAGGTTCACTGAAAGATGGAGAGCAGCTTGAAGGTAGTGTTGCCCTCACTGTCACATGCTCAATTTTTTTTAAGCCTTTACAATCAAAAATAGGAATGTATAGATCAATAGTGTGGCTTATGACAGTCTAGCAAAACATTTTTCATCTATTTAATGTCTTCCTAAATGACTAAATTCTAGGGTTTTGTATTTAAAGTTTATTTATTTAGAGTTTATTCAAATGATTGAACTCTTTGATGGCTCTCGGTTTTAAATTGGTAATATCTTAATTTGCATTACTTTAATTTTAATGATATTTCATGTTTTTAGTTGAAGAGAAAGAAAAAATAATAATAACTTTCGTAACTTTGCATTTATCATTATTAATAAAAATGATTTAAAACGAAAGTTGTCTGCAAGGGGATAGTGGACAACATGAGTTTGAAGTTTTTAAATCTTACTAGTTGCAACATATTTGGCAAGTCGGCCAGTGTGCTAGCCTGGCTCATCAGGGTTTGTTGAATTTATAGTCTTTGGTTGATGTTTTGGTGGTCGAGATTTTATTTACTGGTTTATGTTGATCTTGTACATACGCTGATTGAGTTGAATGGTAGATTATCTTACTTAAAACCATATGGAGATTGACAAATAATGCTGTATATCGATCCATTTTTGCATTCATTCCATTTATTATTGATTGCTTTGGTGTTGAAAACTTAAATTTACGAATTTTCTCAATGGAATGTACATTTATATTTGTTTGTCATACAACTCTAAAAATAATAATCATCTGTCAGTTGCATCCTTATAAGCTGCATGGACTTTCAATCAATCAAATGATAGTACACGTTAACAATAAACACTACAGATGCAATCTTCCATGCGTCACAGCGAGATATGGAAGAACAGTTTGAGGTACCGCAAGCCCCAGTTGGACGGCATGGGCGGACTGCGAAGGTTCACCCTGAACAACAACCCACAGATCAGCAATCAGGACATTCAGTTACTTAGTTCTGCACTCCTTGATGACCTCTGGGTCAGAGGTCGGTTGGTAGGATATTGAGGATTTAAATGGGTAGTTTGCTTGAATGATATAGCAAGTGTTGTTGTTGTGGTTGATGGTCATTGCTAAGCACTCAGAGAGGAAAAGAGTTATAAATAAGAAAATTCGTTTAGTAATTGAATTAGTAATCGATGTTGCTCAATTAAGGTTGACTGATAGTTACATGTTGATTGTTTTCAATGCAGCAATTGACTTGCAGTGCTGCAACATAACTGACGTCGGGGCCCAGTACATCCTTGATATGTTGAAGTTTAACACATCTCTTGTTGTCATCGACATCAGGAACAACAGCCAGATAAGTAAGTTGCTGGTCTGTTGGTTGGTTGGTTGGTTGGTCTGTTGGCTGGTTGGTTGGTTGGTTGGTTGGTCTGTTGGCTGGTTGGTTGGTTGGTTGGTTGGTTGGTTGGTTGGTCTGTTGGTCTGAATGTGATGGTTTTTATTGTATGAGTTCGTCAAATTTTACCATCGTTTTCATCATTGCAATCTACTCACTTCTTGCGAACAATTCTGTAAAGAATAACAAACAGCACTTATAAACATTTACTAAATTTTTCAACAACTTTCTTCAGATAAGAAAATACTGGAGAGCATTTTGGATCAGCTCACCATAAACTGTGGAGGTCATGAAACTGAGGTTGATGAAGCTGCTGCAGCAGCTGTTCTTGTTGTTGTTGATGATGATGATAATAATTATTTAACAGAGTAAGATGTGACTTGGATGCTGATGTCGATAGTTATAGAAGTGATAATGTAGATAATGTGATAATGTATATAATTATTTATATAATGGATGACAATGTGGTTGGTAACATTTATGCATACCTAGTTTAAATCTCAAATATTACATTTTTTCTCGTTGATTGTTACTTCAAAAAAGCACATAATAACAAGATGACAAAAATGTTCATCGATAAAATTGCAGACACACTCATCACATTTGGATGGCTATTAATCGTTATGTAACAGGTAAAATTCCAAAGAATGCAGCCAGATAGACAATTCATTAAAATATGCTAGCTCTCAGAGCTTATGGTGGATGCCTTTGCAGCTTTTTAGCATAGCAACTTGAAAGGAGTTTTTTGGTTATAAACACACAAAGTTCCAAATACAGCAACCGGAGCATATAAATTGAAATTTTGATAGTGCTGTTTTCTTTATATACATACATGGATGTGGTAGAGGTTGTAGTATTGTCATCAAATTTATATCACTTAGTATGCATTGCATATGTTTGCAGATTACAGAAATTTTTAAAACATGCTTTTGCATAGCACTGCATTACTTTTAATATCTTACCACATTGACAACTTGCAGTACATGTGGATGAAGTTGGAAGAATTCCACCAGTCTTCAAGTCGACCAGCAACCAGCCAACAGGTCTCATCAGCCAACCATCATCCATCTAATAAGCAGTTAATGCCTTTTGTGAGGAAAAATAGCGCGGTGGGTATTGGACAATGTTTACATTATGTTAAACATACGGTGGTTTTTATATGTAGATGAAATTTCATTCCCCAATAATTTCATTTTATTGGTGTTTAATTTTAAATCTACTCACATATTGAATTGCCTTTATATTTAACGATCTGTCCGAATTTTTCAGATCAAATCTCCAACCGGTGCGAGGTGTAAGTCAAGAATCTCTGTGAACAACAGCAACAACGTCAACAAAAACAACAACATGGTCGTCCAAACAAACGCCAACAGAAACAACACTCATTCTAACAATCAAAAGCAGTATGGACTGCCCTGGAGGACTGCGTTGAGAGCTGCTCGATTCAGGTTGTTGACCGTTGCTGTTCAAATTAGCAAATGTCCACTGAATTCAACGAATGTCCACTGATGTTGATAAATGTCTAATAATGTCGGCTGTTTGGTTGATCTACTCTCTGATTTACATTGCAGCTTTGGCGAATTAAGTTTTCATTAGTTTGGAAACTGTCTGCAAGTTCTGCATATTAATTAAAATCTTTTATTTAAATTGGTAGGAGTATTTAACCATAAACCTAACAGTTCCATAATTTGAATAAGACCTTATAAAAATATAATTGCCAAGCAGATCCCCAACTGCAGCTTCGACGACGCGTTCACTAGTAGGCAAGGTGCAGCATACTACAGTCCATGCTAGGAGGAAAATAAGTTCATGCAAAAAACAGGATGACGATGTTTATGATGTCACTGATGAAGATGATGAGGAGGATGGTGATGTTGATAAGAGCATAACAAGATCCAGGAGTATGGATAACATTAAAAAGAAGCAGCCAGAATTACCTGTTTGTTTCTAATATGAATCATGTTTTTTGTTATCTCTGGGGTCATTCATCATCAGTTCATCTAATCATTCAGTTTCAACGTCAACTTACCGTGATACAAATTTTATAGTGTGGATGATGAAGGATGATCAGCTGTAATGTGATATAATAAGATAATATTTTGTTATCCCGATGTGATAGCTAAGAGAATGATGCTTGTGATGATGATATTAATAAAATAAAGATGATAACTCTGTAGGGCGATGTCAGTGAGTGGCAGCGATCAGAACAAAATTTGGAGTCCGTCAGGGAAATTGAAAGAGTAAGCTTCTAACTTCTAACTACATTGCATGCTGTTTAGCCTTACTCCACTGTACGACTCTCTTTCTCCATATCATCATGATGTTCATCTTCATACTTTATTTAATATCTTAGCGATAAATCTTTTCAAGAATATGCACATCAGAGTTGTCTTGCATAAACTAATCTTTTAATTTAACAGTATCTGGTGTTGTTAAGTTATAAAATCGTAATGCCACAATATCAGTTTTTATTACTATGTATCTCCAACAGGTTTCAACATCTTCTAATCTCGTGTATGATTGTCATCTATATATTAACTTTCATTTGAGAGCATGTTTTTTTTCATGCAAACATGTTTATTTCTGCCAATATTTGTTTCACCTGGTCTTAGGTATTCATTGATATATACAAACAGTAAATAAATAAACAAATAAATAAATAAATATTTAGTTAATTGTAGGTTTTACGAAAAATAATACAACTTATCCAAAACATTTTAAAACATAATTAAACATGTGTTTGTCTTATAAGAAATATAGAAATATAACAAACTCTGAGTTCAGTGGTTAACAAAAGTTGTAAATTATTTTGGATAAATTGTAAAATTTCCGGTAAAACCTTAATACTTTTTTAACTTAATTGAAAAGTTGAAACTGGAGAATGACCGACTTAAGGCGAGGTGTGAAGAGTTGGAGGAAAACAGACAGATGATGGTCGAGAGCGAGGAGGCACTGGACAGTATCGAGGCCTCTTTCAAACAGTTCAACAACTTCCTCGAGATGCTCAAACAGATCGGGTAGATAGATCATTATTGTTATGTGTTATGTTATCACTAATGAATATCATATAATAACCATAATAATATTTCAAAAACATAATTTTTAAGATATTATTATAGCTATAATTATTATTATTATATTACTAAAACTTCGTTTCTCAATCATCAAGGCAGTTAACTCAGGTGTTCATCTTGGCTTGTAAGATGGCATTTATATGTAATTTTGTAACAACATTCTGTCTTCAGATTGTCACATAGAATTTTATTTTTTTATATTTTTCTTAACTGTTGTCGAGCATTCTTTTACAATTTTTACGACAATTATATGTACCCGCGCACGATCAGTTAATAACAATTTTTACCTCTTCACGCGGCAACCAGTTTAGGACCACTGATATCGATGGCAGAACTCGATCCGACGCTACTCAACTTCCCAGCGCCACCGTCACTGTCTGCCTCGCTATCCCCATCGAGGTTACAGCAACCCATCAACGAAACGTCACAAATATCTTACGTCGACCACAACGACAACCAGAATAAAAACAACAACAACGGCAGAGATGGCGTAGATCAAACCGCTTTTAATTTCACCATTGACAATGCAGCGCAAGATAATGAAGGCCTGGTCGAAGATGACAGCCGCAGATTTGATGAATCCCTCTTCAGCCACAACGTGTACAACTACGGCCATGACTCCAGCATCAGCCTCGGTGACCAATTGCAAAACAGAACCCTACTCAACTCAACAGCAGCTCAGATGAAATCATTTCTATTGGAACAATCGTCACTATATGGCCAATTGCAATCTAACAAATTGGGTCAAGATGACATAGATATCAACCAGTCAGTTCAATCTCTTTTAAACAGTTTTGAAAGGTTATATTTTTGTTTACTAAAATTTATTATTATTATCATCAGTTATTTTATTATCACTATTGTGGTTGTTGTTTTTATTGTTTTTATTTTACACCTCAAAACCACCTCCACTGTCTGTAACTGCTTCAAGGCATCGGTTGACCACCTACATCTTCGTTAGCGAAATCAACCTCGCTCTTTCAAAGTTGATATCCCTGACAACACATAAACATGTCTTGAAAACTTTTGGTTCATAGTTACCTGATGAACTTTCTTAGTACTAAACACACGACATTATTTGAAGAGCCTTTTTGTTATTTTTAATATTTTAAACATTCCTATAACGAATATTTGAACTTTCTACAGGCCTGCATCAAAATTTGATGAATTGTACATGAAAGCTTTACAGAATAATGATGTGTTGCGCCAATCAGCCATTCCCAAACCAAACGACAACAGCATAAACATTAACAACAACAATATAGTCCAGACCCAGAATAACGCGACCACGACAACGTCAACCAATAACAGGAACTATGACATTCCAGCAAAATTTGACAAACAAAACACAAAAGATCTCTTTGAAAGATATAGCTCAAACAGTTTTCAGAAAAGTGACAACGATGCATTGAGAATTGATGCTCCACACAAGAAAACTTTAACGGAACACATTGACTCTCTCTTCAACATTCCACCACCAATCAAAGAATCTTCTAGGAATGTATTTGTTCCTGCAGAACAAGATCCAGCAGGATTTGATAATTACAAACAAGCACTACGACAGCAACAACAGCCACAACAGGCGCAGCAACGATCGCAGCGACACGTACAGCAAACACAATCACAACTGCGCCAGCCGCTAGTCCAACAACAGCAGCAACGGCAACAACATTTGCCAGGTCGAGATTCATCTTCACAATTTTCCCAGCAGTCGACATCGCAGCGCCAAACGTTAAAATTTTCACAAATGCACCAGCCGTTCACACATCACTCAAACGCATTGCCGTCACAGCCATCGAGAAAACAGCCTGACAGAATGTCGACCAACTTGGACGCCATGCAGTCCCTATCATCATTGTCATCCTCATCAACTTCCTCATCCTCTTCGATATTAGTTTCACGCATTAATAAAGAGAATCAAGAAGATAACCCTAACAAACGTGCTCATGAAAACATCAAAGAAACTTCAGCAGCCTCTCTTGATGCAGATGACGCAGCAGAAGACGACACAAAAATTTACAAGGAGTACTCGTTTGACATTGAAGGTCTTGATGTTGGCCAGGGTGGAGATTACAGCTTAACTGAATCATTACTCATGCAAAATCTTAATGTCACGAACGAAAAGAATGATCAGAATATTTCTTAAAAACTTGCCTATTATTTTTATTAATTTTATATCGACATTTTAACTTGTTTGTCATTTATTACTTGATAAATCAAAACAACGAGTGAATGCTGATTTATTTTGTGTCGTTTAAAAGTTACTAACATAAATCGAGCTTCTCAAGCATCGCCTGACATCTTCAATGTGATCGTTCATAAGTATCTATTCAGATTAGCGGCCATGTTATCATGAGAACAGACAACAAAAACTGGTGCTTTTAATTGTTTTTTAACTTATTGATTATTTAGATCTAAATAATATATAAGGCCATCTGCCTACATGATGTCAGTTGTTTTCCGTATAATTCGACCTATGGAGGTACGATGTTCTTGTTCTGCGTCGTACAAATCGTACGCAAGGAACCCAACCCAACCATGGATCGAAACATGTATCGCTTGCCTGAACGTTGTTACTGAAACAGCGTCGCTCGAACCAGGTTGAACAATTGCGCGAGGCACATGCAGAGGGGTACATGTTAAATAACTCCTCCTGGGTACCTCTCTATCATGCTAGCTTTCCCGCAGACCGACCAAGTTAATCTAGTTGTAAGTTTATAAAAAACGAACTTCATTAAATTGATCTTCCCTTTTTATTTTCGGTGGAATGAACGGTACTTAGTTATTAATTTTTTAAAACTTCGTTAAATAAGAAAAATTGAAAAAAAATAAATAAAAAGGCCAAACTTAAAAATTGTTTGATGCATGATGGTACAAACAAAACAGGTTGCAGAGATATACAAAACACCTATACTCTAGTTAACTCTAGCCTTTTGGATAAAACAAAATAAAATATGATCTACAATACAAATGTAAAACGCTAAGCCGTCTACCGAACTGCATTTTCTACATGAAGTCTCATGCGGAAGCCAGGAAATGGAAGGAAAACATCAAATAAATAAATAAATAAACCGTCAAATAAATAAATGATCGATCGCAGTGAATAAATTTGTTGATAGTAACGTAATGACTGAGTGAGTGCATATGTGAGTTGTCAATGATGAATGAATGAATGAATGAATAACCGATGAACGAATGAAGCTGCCGTAACAAACAGTCTTTGAAATAAAAAAAATTGTGCCATTTTTGTTATGAACGAGTTAAATGCACTTTGGTTGAGTGAGGCAAGTTTCATGTCTGACATTTCAATAAATTAGGTACCTTACAGCAGAAAACAAAATAAATCGTACAGAATGACGACAACAGACGCATACAACCAATAAATTTAAAAAAAAACGAAAAAATTAATATAATGAAAAACAGAAGAAGACGATGATTGTTATATAAATCATCAATCACCCTCTATTGAACTCGAACTCAATGGACGTTGCCACACATAAAATGATGGTTGATGGATAGGAGGAACTTAAAATGTACATGATTGTGTCCGCAAATCGTACGTAACTATATTACATGCATTTACATATAACAATTTTATACTAACTCAAATGTGTGTAATGCTATACATATTATACATACAAACACAACAAACAGATACTCTAATACAAATACACAAATATATACACGAATGCATGTAAAATTCAGTCATTCTTCATTCAAGTGATTGCTGCCACATTTCTTAATTTGCGAATAAGACCACCTTGATGTGCAATGATGTTTGCGCGTTAATTAGTGAAAGTAATGATTGCCTAATGTCTGATTGTGCTCGATGATTGGTTGCGAAATGATCAAAGCGTGCGTGTTTTAATGGTTTTGTAATGAAAGAGACAACATCGAACATACCTGCCACGAAAATTATAAGCCTGACTAGAAGCATGCTGTATTTCAATCATTAGAAGGTTGTGCTATAAACTGTTAGTCTATAACAACGCTACTGCTGCTACTACCACCGCCACTACTACTACTACTACTACAACTACTACTACTACAGCAACAACTACAACTGTTTTTAATAAACATTGAAATAAAAAGTTGAGTAGAGCATTTTAACATTCAATCAGGTTTATTACACTAAATTCTGTTTTATTAAAATTAAGTCTTAATGAATATAAGAAGAGCGTTGATCCTGTAAATTGTGTAACGAGTTGATCGTAAAAAATGGCTGATTGTGAGTTGCGGAAGAAATGATTTGCAAGACAAAATTCATGTGAGCTGTGTAGAAAAGTTCGCATCCAAACAAATTAAACAAATAATTACAAATAATTACAAATTTTAATAAAAACAAAAATCCAAAACTGAATGCCTTTGTTTACAACAGAACAAAGTAATTAATTAATATCTGAAGAAAATATCAACAACGAAATGGTTAATGATAAATAACAATAATAATAATTAATAATTAAATATCATCTGAATTTGAAGACCATGATGACGAACAATGTTGAAATTGCTAAACAAAGACATAATAACATAGAGTTAATAACTTTAAATAACACAACGGACTGCATGTACATTGAAAGGTGAGGAAATTAATAATGGAAAATTAACAATAACATCAACAAAGACATCAAACAATAAACTGATCTGATGATAATAATAATAACAAATATACACATATGTAATATATATACATTCGTTTAAATAAATATACATTTATATAAATATAAATGCATACATACACATACATATACACACACACACACACACACATAAATATATATATATATGTCATATATACACATACGTATGCTCATATATATATATATATATACATATATATATATATATATATATATATTATATATATTTGGAGAAAAAATATATATATATACGTTTTTGGGTTTAGACTATCATAAATACAATTATTTTATCAGTGATTTTTATAAATAATTGTGTGTGTGTATATATATATATATATATATATATATATATATATATATATATATATATATATATAAACATTCATATATATATACACACACACAAACACACACAAACACAAACAAACAAAAAGAAATAATTTAAAAATATTTCTTTAATTATTGCTTCTATTGTGGATTTCAACTTTCAGTCTAGCAGTAGCTCTAACGGTAGTGACTTGCTTATTATTATTATTATTATTATTGTTGTTGTTGTTACTAATGTTATTTTTAATGTTGTTGTTATTGTTGTTTTCATTGCTATTTTCTTGGGCTAATTGATGACTGTTGAGATTGACAATCTGCTCATCACTGCTTATGTAAAAAATGAAATTGTTATTGTTGTTATTGCCTCTGCAGTTACTATTATTATTATTATTATTATTATTATTATTATTATTATTATTATTATTATTATGGTTATTATTATTATGCAATACTGACGATGCTGGTGAAGATGTTGAGAATGATGATGATGAAGATGATGATGATCTAGGTGGAAGAGGTGGCGGGGTGTGGATGGAACAAACTGTTGTTATTGTAGGCGAACAACAACTGCAACTGTTGTTGCTGTTGTTGTTGTTTGACGCGTTGTTGTTGATGTTATATAAATTATCTTGCTGACAATTACCATTGTGAACATCACCAACATCTTCATTACCATTCTTACATTTTTTGTTGTTGTTGCTGCTGCTGCAGCTAACACTGTCGCTACTACCACCATTTCCGCCACCACTACTACATCTATATTTGTTGTAGCTGCTGCTGTTACGACTGTTGCTACTGCAAGAGTTGTTGCCGCAAGAATTGTTGTTGATGACGATTGTTGGCGTGACAGAGAATGATATGGAAACATTGGATCCGGAGTTATTGGAGGAGTTCTCTTCGATGATGGTTGAGAGTTTCGTAGGAACAAACTGGTATGGATATTTCGCTAACTTTTTCCTTTTCCTCGATGATGATGACGATGAAGATGATGACGTCGCCGGCCTAACGGCTCTCTTGCCTTTTAATCTGCCCCTGTTGCCGCTTTTTGAGAATTTCGTTGTTTGAGATCTTCTCTTTTTGTTGTTGTTGTTTGTGGTGTTGTAGAGCTCGGCAAAGATGAGTTTGTTGTTCACTTCTATATAAGTTCTGCTGTCGATGGGCGTCAGCTGTTGTAAGCAATTTAGTTGATTAATCTAATCTGAATATATTGGCAGGTGCAAACAACATCCGTGACTGCAGCAAATATTCAAAAATTCATTTTCAATATATTTATTTTTTTATTCAAATAATTACGAACGCACCAGCATCAAAACATCAGCAAAACTTGAACCATCATGCCAGTCAGCCAGAAATATCGTCAAAAAATAACACCATCACTTGAGCCACATAAAAAAACAACACTCCTGATAGTTGACGTTACAACAACAAAACCAACAACAACAACATAGAAAAAACTGTCATAAACTACGTTCATTACAAACAAAACTCCACAACCAAATAACACAAAAAACACAACAGAAACAAAAGAAAACTCCAAAAAAAAGTAGCAACAAACCTCAGGAGTGGGACCAAGGATGGATGCAACAGCCGGCAACAAGATGATACCATTCGTATAACTCAGCATCAACATCATCGTGAACGAGCAAAAGAAATACCTGATGGATAGTGAGGAGAGTAAGGAACGTAGGACATTTACATACAATATTTACATATAACATTTACATATAACATTTACATATAACATTTACATATAACATTTACATACAATATTTACATACAATATTTACACCAAATATTTACATATAACATTTACATACAACATTTACATACAATATTTACATACAATATTTACGCAACAGTTAACCTGTACGTAACATCTATAGACATGCGCGTTAGTTATGAAAGACAGATGTAATGTTGAGAAACAGAATTTAAAAAAAATTCTCAATATACTAAACATGTACAAATTCAGGCATAAATTAAGGACCATAGAATATGATAGGCGAGAATTCTGTAAGTCATAAGATCACGAAATTGACATAATTAAATCTTTCAAAATCTTATCAATTCTCTATTGACACAAACACACACTCACACACACACACACACATATGCATGTTAGTTATATAATTATAAAAAATGACAACTGTGACAGTGAACAGCGCCAATGCTACTCAATAATAACGAAATGCGAGAGCCATTAGAAAATTTAAAAAATAAAAACTGGAATCACGACAGACGCTATCATTGCAAACAGTGCATGCACGGAGGAATGTTGAAAAGAAAGAAATTATCTGCCTGTAAATCAATTAACCAGTCAGTCAAACTACAACATCGTTAGAGCACTTCACTACGTCGCTAGCACATCAAGAGCAACAACAAAAAAAAAACATATGCAACTAATAACATCAACGACAAAGAAAATATGCGATAATTAACGTTAAAAAACAACAAAATAATTATGCAATAAATAAGGAGCAAGGGGCAGAAACAAACTTGATAACGAATGCGAACGGTGAGCAGGCCAGCAGAACGATGCCCAGCAAGGAGGTGATGAGGACGCGTGTTGCCATGGGGAACGACCTTGACAGTGCTCTCCTCATGCGAAGGTCACGAGAGCCGATGCATGTTGTGAAAGCCTGGTTGGTGGATTTGTTGTAGAGATGATAATGATGATGACAATGATGATGACGATGATGGTAGTGATAATGTGAGTAACAATGTTATGTTTAAAAATACGCATAGTTGAAAACATAAACAAACAAAATTAAACAACAACGAGCGAATCAATAAACATAAACTGATGAACAGCAGCAAGAGAGTGCATGCAGCTGTGTGGAGTCTCATGATTCGAGCCGTTGTTGGAAGCTGATCTACCTGGTTCAAGAATCAAGGGTTATCCGTGCAACGCTGCAAAACTTGTGCGTGAGACGTAAGGCTTGCTTGCCCACACGTGCATGTACTGCGTGGTTTATATGCAGATGCACGGCCTTTGTGAAACGAAAGTTTCGCTAGCAGCAAAGAAAATGAAGAATAATTTTTATGTACAACTGTATTACAAAAAAAGCAAAAGTGAGAAGCGCACGAAGTATAAATAGAAGGAAAGAATACAACAACAACAAGGTGACCACATTACTGACCAGCAAAAAAATGATACTGTATTTGATACTGCAGGCTGCGCTGATGATGACGACGACAACCGGAATGACGTTCAGTTTGATGCCCAGCCACCCCATCATGCCACACAACTGGACGATCGTACTGGTGCACGCCAACACCTGCTCGTCATTGACGTGAATGATGAAGAAGATGACGATGACGATGATGATGATAGCAAGAATTAAACTAGCTACGTGAATAATGCAAATGATGTTGAAAAACACGATCATGCAGCAGCAAAAAATTTAATCTCAACTATATAAACAACAAAATAAGAACAATCATTTTATTTTAAATGGCGAAATTATACAATAAACAAAACATTAAAAAATTAACAACGAATTTAAGGATCAAACTAAAACAAAGGCAGAACTTGAGTTTGCAACAAAAAAAACAATCTGAAAACCAAAAAAAAAATATTTAGGATGTTGTTAAGCACAACGATGACGACAATAATAAAGCAAGGATGATATTTTACACGGTGATAAATCAAGAAGAGAAATAAATTAGGCTATAAAAACTAAACTTTGGCATAAAGAACACAAGAAATCACAAAAAGGAACAAACAACAACCAAAATAGCATGTGATTCAGTTACAAAAATCACATGCATCAGTTAAACAGAAAGTGAGCGAGCATAAATAACAACTTAGATAACAAAAGAACTGGTGCAATAAAAAATGAAAATAAGCAACCATAAGAAACCTAGCACACACACGTACACACAAACACAGATACACACACACAAACACACGCATAGAACTAACCATCATTAGAGCCAACAACCAATTCAGTAGGACGAGCAAGCTGAAGAGGAAGATGATGATGAGGACGACGACGACGATGACGAAGAAGTAAATCCTGAGGTTGAAATATTGCTCCCAGTACGAAATGATGATTCCCTGCGGGTAGTTGGGAACGCCGAGGTTCCTGTACGTGTCACAGATCTCACGGATTTTCTGAATGCAATAACGGTACCATCTATTAAGGACTAGGTTGAATCGTAATGGAAATGTCAACAGTAACATAACAAGCACATAAATGGAAGGGCATAAAATGACCACGATGGTAAACATTTTTCAAAAAAATAACCAACGTAGCAAACACGTACGTTTGAATAGTGAGAACAATAACTGAAAAAACGAAATTAATTTGGTTTTTATCTAGACAGGCTTCTTTTCTTTACGTGGTAATGAAGCATTTGATTTTTTACGTAAGGGATTGCTGTGCTCAGCCGTTAAGGTAAAAAATCTGCGAGAACATCCACTAACCAACCAAATGAAACATGATGCCTCTCATCGCTTTGAACTGCTGCGAAAATTGAGATAGATCAAAAATTGTGTGGTGTGGTACGTTTGTACATACTTTCTAATTTGAAGATTATCGCAAGTTAAAGACGTACTATGGTGATGGCGTCATTGCAGTAAGAAGGGTTCTAAAAAGCTACATCATGACTGGCTGATTGGTTAGTTGGTTGGTTATCAGGTTGGTTGGTTATCAGGTTGGTTGGTTCTCAGGTTGGTTGGTTATCAGGTTGGGTGAAGGGAGAACCGTTTACAACAAAAAATGAACTGCTAAACGACAAAAGCAAGCAGCAACTAGCAGCACAACAACAACAACAACTAACATAAAGAGCCTGCATGACATCTTGAGAATTCATAAGATTGCTGATGTAATAAGCCACTTGTGCGAAGGAGATGGGCGACGATGGAGGAACTGAAGGAAGGAAATAAAAATGAGAAAAGTTATTAAAAAAATTATCAAAATGTAAACTTTTGCAAGCAACAATTTACAACAACAATAAAATTAAATAAAAATATTTTAATAAGTTTGTTAACTGCTAAAGGCATGATGAATAAATGATAATACTTCCTCACTATTACAATATACAATACAATACTTCCTCACTATTATAGTTGGGGTCGTTGTCATCGTGAAGCCAGAGGCCAGCCTCAGGGAAGATACTCGCTTGCGACGTTCCATAGGCAAGAGCATCGTTGGAGACCCAGGCACTGAGGTATATGTAGAAGGCAGGCGGGTAGATGACGCCTGTGCTTTCGTTCACCAGACGACCCGTGAACACCTGAGGAAGATAAATAACATGCACGCGTTTTCAATTTTCATCAATGTTCAAGTGAAAGTATTTTATCAACTGATTTAATAACCCTCTGATATTTTATCTATCAGGACATTTTGTTAAAAATTTGAAGAATGAAAGATTTGAATAATTGTTACAAATTTGCAGCAATTACGATTACCAATTGATAATCAATATTAACTGTAGGACAAACTCACCCTTTCCTTACTGATAACATTAGGCACACCAGTTTGCACCATCAGCTTGTACCCCAGCCTACCGAATGATGTTGCATTAGGCAGCCATCCATTCAGCACGATGGCATTGTTTCTTATGTCCTGGTCATATGCATACTGAACATCTACAATTAAAACATCATGATGCTGTTAATGCTTCTTGCTTCAACATCAATTTATGTTAATTACTTATTACGAAATCGGGCCAATGACTAGTCACAAGTGCCAACCAAGCAACCAACTACTAAACAGAAAACAGAGACCAGAGAGCAATCAAGCAACCAACTACTAAACAGAAACTAGAAAGCAACCAAGCAACCAGCTAGCAAACAACCAGACAGCTAGTTAATGACTCAGCTACCAGCAACCATCCTAGCAACAACTCAATAACAAACTAGAGGCTTGATAACTTAGCAACCATAACCAGCTACCAGCTTAGCCACCAGTTGCGAACCTAGCCACCAACCTAGCAGCCAGTTCCTAAAGAGCATGAGCCAGGAGAGAGCGAGGTGTTCTCCGTCTTCCTTAACAATGCCCTTAATGCTTGCGAATGATTCGTGGAATGAATGAAGAAGCAACTGATTTCCAGGTGACGAATAATTGAAACCTTTCTGCATTCAGAAAATTTTTTTTTAAATAATTATTTTTATTTCAAAATTATTAATAGCCACAATTTGTGTGCAAGCATAATTATGAAACCTTCAGTTGAAAGAACAATTTTGTGATATAATAAAAATGTAATGTAATAATGAAAACCTGTGTTGCCACGAAGAAATTGTAGAAGCCAAAATAAGTAGACTGCGTTTTGAAGTACTTGTACTCTGGAGTACCCTGAGGCACCACATCCGTCAAGTCCAGTCCCAACTTCATTTGGGGAATTCCCATGATGGTGATGACGATGATGATGATGAAGATTGTTATTATGCAGATCTGAATCAAAGTGTCAAGTTCAATAATCGTCTATTTGTACAACGAGAATAATTTTTCAACGATAAATAAAAACGTGCTGCAAGTCAACAGGTTTAACATACATTGACGGTTTGAAAATTCTTTAATTCAATTTTATAAAAATAATGCAATGAATTTATGAAGAAAATAGTAACGATAGATAGATAGAAACCTTGACGTGTAACTTCTGTAACAATACGCAGAGAACATTCTCACAGAAGTTCTCCAGCGATAGAATATCACATAACTTAATCGCCGCATCACTCAACCGATGGTGGTGGTGGTCACGTGTTTTTCTTTCAGTTTTACGACCGCAGTCGTCATCGTCGTCGTCGTTGTCATCGACATTAATGACGTCATCATTATTATCACGTTGAATATTTTTACTGGCGAGATCAATATACGATAACGACGATAATGATGAAGATGATGAGGACGAAGAGGAGGAGGAGGACAACGACGATGATGACGTTGATCGTGACGTCATCGAATCTGATGACGACGAAGATGATAATGATTGCGATCGTGGCATTGCTGAAGTGCTGTGGGCCATGGGACTAGAGGTAGACGCTTCTGCTGAAACATAATGAACCAAAAAATGTAAGATAGATTAAAATTAAATTAAAAATCACACAGCATTGATACGCCACAATAATTTGTTTCTACTTCAGCAGTTTAAAAAATAGTTAGAAGACGGGTATGAAACCTTTTCTGGACATCAGGCCACACTGGATGTCATCATTTTCATAAAAATGTTGATCAACACCATCAGCCGGCACATCAACGCCTTTGTGGCCGCCGATTTGCATGTGTCGCTGCCGCTGTTGCAGCCGCTGTTGATGAAACATCTGTTGAGCATCATCATTTGGTTGCAGACGGTGTTTATTATGACTTTGTTGCAGTTGCGACTGCTGTCGACGATGTTGTTGGTGACGTCCTGGATATTGTAGTTGGAGATTGTATTGGGATGAGTTGGGTTGACCACCTGATGAAAAGTCATAAAATTCATCTGAACATTTGGTCCACTGGCTCGTTGGCAATGATGGCGTGGAAGATGAAGATGAGAGGGAAGGTGGTGCTGACGACGAAATGAAGAGCTGCCTCACTGCTTTCTTCTTTTTTAATCTTACTTTACTCACATGAGGTGATGACGTTGACATTCTAAAAACAAATAAACACAAAAATTAAAATAATTATCTTTTAAAGATCAATCCTAAAATAAAAATAGTTAATCAAGTAAACGAGAGCTTATGTACACCGCAGGCTAATGTTATTCTTGAATTTTCTTACACTTGAGCACCGCGTACGCTTAATTGACGCTACACATTCTCCCTTAACAGCTACTTACCTATTTACATTTGTCCGAATCATTGACTGGCTTTCGATCAGTGAAATGATTAATAATTTGATGATGATTAATGATTAATAAATGACTAATAATCAGACATGATTAATAATTTGTATCAACTTATTGACATTATATTTACTACATCCTTACACACAATTTAGAAAAAGAAGCTTTGTAACATTATGATATAATTTATTGACTTCTTACAGCCTAAAACAAACTGTAAACTATCTTCAATGAAAAAAAAACTTTAAAAGCTTCTCACAAACCATTTACAACGATTTACACAATTATAAAGAAAATCCTGTTTCAAATGACGTTTTGCCATTACATACCAGAACATGTTCAATAGCAGTCGCACCATAAATGGCCACCATCGTCAATTGGATAGATTACAAAGAGCCAACATGAAATTAAGTAAAAAAAAAATTGAATACAATAGGAATAAAATGTAGGGGGAAAAAATAAAATAAAACAACTGTATCATCCTTCAAATTAAGCCTGTATGTGGATACATTTAAAAATACACGAGAGGATATTATTAAAAACTGAACTACTGTGCACAAGTGAGAACGAAAAATGAATTAATAATAAAAGTAGTTGGAACACTACAAACCTCTTGCACAGCTTCAACTTCTTCTGCAGCTTCCCTTCCATGTAGATGAACGCAGGCAGAATGGTAAGGACCGACAACGTATTCAGTCCAACGATCAGGGAACACTGGATGGAAAGAACGTTGAAGATGATATTCCAACAATCAAATCAAATATCATTTTCATCGAATCAAAAAAAAACACCAAATGATTAAAAAATTGTCACGAAATTCAAAGAGGAAGTAAATTATTGTACCATAATGTTGTTATAATAGTTTCTGAAAATTTAATAGTAACAGAATAATTTTAATTTGTATTTATACACCATACCTGCATATAACATTGAAACGTGGTAATATCGTAAGATCATTAAAATTATAACTGAGGTTAATCTTATGTTTAATAATGTAAATACATAACAAAATGAATTACACTAAAATAAATCCATACAAAATTGCATTTAAAATAAAAACAAACGAACGAACGAAGAAATAAAACAAACAAACAATAAAACAAACAAACAAACAACAAACTTTAATAAAAATTGTCTTCAAAATTACATGCCACATGAATGATAAATTGCAGATTTTTGGATTGAGATCGCGCACATGAAGAAAATTAAAACATCTCGTCAAACAAAATATTGTTCAAAAACTAAAAAAAATACTTAAATATAAATAACTTTAAAGAAAAATATTTACTACGTTCGGCTTACCACACACTTTTCAGAGGTTTTAAAAAAATTTCAGTTAAAAATAAAAATGAAATTTAAAAAAAAATAATATTAATAACAATAGTTACTGAACATATTCATTATACCTAAATAAACAATATTTTTTCAACCTTTACGTGAGTGTGTTTGTGTGAGTGAAAGAAAGAGAGAGAGAGAGAGAGAGAGAGAGAGAGAGAGAGAGAGAGAGTGTGTGTGTGAGTGTTTAATTAATCATTTATTTAGTTTGTTCCTTGAGCACACATAAGATAAAAATGAAAAGATCAAATTAACAGCTTCATTAAGAGAAATTCATCTATCTTGCATGATGATATAGGATCAAAACTACGCGTCATCTAAAGTAAATGTTATATTGTACGAGTTATAACCTAGTAGTAAATAAATAACATTGAGTATATCTTAAATCTCCACAAAGAGAAGTCAGAAGCATAGCTCGGAAACATAAATAAAATTTGAAACCTTCAACAGGCTGAATAAACACTGCAAACAACTTGAATACAAAATTTGAAAATTCCTCAGATCATCATCACCTCAATCATCATCATTTTATTCCTTCTTCTTCTTCTTCACATTACTATTTAATCACATTCATTATTAGAATGCTAACCATGATTATATCATACCAACGTCATTTCAACCTACCATCAATCAACCTACCACTGATCGTTGTAATAATCTACAAAACAAACGAACAATTTTTGGAAACAAATAAGAAAATTAATAACATATCAACCCAGACCAGACACACACATTCTCTCTCTCTCTCTCTCTCACTCACTCACACACACACACACACAACTCTTAATAATATTTAACTATGAAATTTATAACATTTATTTACATCCAATTAGAATGTCTACATTTTAGAATCAGGTAATTATAAAACACGTATATAAGACAATGCATTGAGATAAGTAGGATTAACCTGAACATACAATGCATAAGAAATGTATAAAGAAAACATTAAGAAACCCTGGGAAGAAACCAAAAACGGGATTGGGCAGACGAGTTTTCTTTGATGGAAAATTGTACGGCTCAATTATCAAAGAACCATATAAATTATACCCTCTATTACCTCTACTTTTTAAATAATTATTTTTAAGTCTATGGATTTATTGTTGACATTAATAGCAGCATTGTCAAATGCGCGTGTGGTATAGTAGAATTGAATGCTTGACATTTAAACGCGCGCGGTTCCTAAACAAATGTATAAATTCATAGCAAGTATGCAGTACAGTACAATACAGTACAGTGCAGTGTACACAGCTGTCAAAATTAACCCGACAGTCTGCAAGATCGTTCGTTACTGATCTAATTTTTCAGTTTAGCGGATCATTTAGATGATTTTTTTTTTGCAGAAATATTTTCAAAAAACACGCAATTAAGTTGTGTATAACTGCATTCTTATTTGAAGTATGCTGTGCTGCAGACGTGTTTGCATGTTCCTTTAATTTGGTGTGAAAACATTATATTAGCTAGCTGTAAATTACAAACAACAACAACAACAACAACAACTGAAAATAACAACATTAATATAAATGATTGAAAAATAGAAATTGTTAATAAAAGTGATGATGGTGAGAGGATGAGGAGAATATCGTTGGAGAGTGTAGCACAGAAGAGAGAGAGAGAGAGAGAGAGAGAGAGAGAGAGAGAGAGAATGCGAATGCTACTTACATTTATTTCACACAAACTCCTCTCTCTCTACACTCTAACGAAACTAAAGAACATTTTACATACTATCAAAATGATAAATATATTTTTTGCTTATAATAATGACAACTAACTTATTACCTATCAATATTTTTATCCCTTAATTAAACAAAGTAGTGCCACGAAGTTCGTTCGCCCAGGCAAAGTTGCGAATATTGTTACTAAAAATGTTCAACTGGTTACTTTAGACAGAGAAAAAAATTCCTTTATTTAGCATGATAATGTTGCAAAATTATGCAACCTACAGTTGGGATTCATTGAAAATAAACTTTAAATAGAGGATGACAAATAATATAATATGCATGGTACAACACAAAACTCTGTCAAGTTCAGTTTACGGGTGAAGACAATTTTTAATGATCAAACCATCACATTTTGGTTATGATGGGGTTTGTTGCATTCGAGAATAAAAATAATTTTATTATCTTTATTATGATTTAATTGCTGAGAAACATTTAGCAGAATTCGAGTGAAAATATTATGCAGAAATTTATAGAAAATTAAATTGCATAGTACAATTGAAAAAAATTACTGTGAAAAAATTTAAAATGAAATGAAAGCATGTACTGCAGAATAACAAGCAGTGCAAACGCCAAGCCAGAAATACAAATGTTTATCCAAGAAATAAAAAAACATAAATTGTGATAAATCAAGGTGAACAAGATCTAATATATATATATATATATATATATATATATATATATATATATATATATATATATATATATATATATAATCTATATATCTAATATATATATATATATATATATATAAATAAATTCAAATAAGAATCTGTTGCAATTGATGAACAAGTGGAACATGAAGAACATGAAAAACATGGTGAACTTTATGAACACGAACATTACAAGCATGATGAAGAAGAATGAACTGGCTGGCTGACCTGCAAGCAGAAGGTCCTCATGGCAGGTATGGGAATGATGGCTGCGAGAATGAAGCAGAGGATGTTGCATGCTGACGTCACAAGGATGGTCGCCCCTGTCCTCTTGTAGCACATTCCTGTCTGAGACTGAAATTAAAAAAAAAATTGAAATTATTGAGTTGAATGAAAATTTCAACTTTCGAAATATTAACGTTTATCAAAACTTGACAAAAGTTACGCTTTAAAATAGCACATTTTATCCATTTTTTTTATTAGAAGAGATTTACGAAAAATTTTCAATTTTTTTTTAATACGAAGACAAGTTCGACTATTAAACACATTTGTTTTAAACATTTGAACTAAATAACCCCATCAAGATTTGAATTTGTGAAATTAGAAAAATAATGTTCATTCATGATAGATAAAAAGCTGAAGGCAAATAATGGAGCACTGAACCCACATGACACGCACAACAATTTGTCTATCTGTGCAGTGTGCTATGCTGTGCTGTGATGAAGATGCTGAAGAGATAATATTTAATTGCAGTCAGCACATGGTGTATCTTAAAATATCTATTGAATTAACGATCCAATAACTCTGAATTAAAGTTTTGTTTGAGTTTATAAGTTAAAATATCTTAAATTATCTATTCAATTAACGGTCCAATAACTGAATCAATGTTTTGTTTGAGTTTATAAGTTATAATTAAAAAAATAATGTACAAAGGCCAACCATAGTGTCAATACACACAACTTATAATGAAGTCAACATAACTATTTTTCGCTGACGCTTGGAGAGTTTAATTATATTTTCTTCTTTCATTATGCATAAACTTTATAACTTTACACAGGTCTGCCTGCTAATAAACAAGCTACGCGCACACATTTCACGCACGCGCTTCTATATTTTGAATGTACTGAACATATAAACAATTAACAGTTGTTCAAACAAATAATCGAACTGACAAACCCAGTATAATATTTTAAAAATATAAATCACAGTTTATGCTCTTGAAATGGTTTCATCACTTCACCATATCTAAAAAATATATTTGCAAAACTAAACAAAATAAGAACGTACATTTCAAAAAATGTAGGAAAGATCTCATGCAAATATGTAACATTTAGTACGCATAATCGACACAAACAAACAAACAAACGAACGAACGAAAGAACGAACGAACAAACAAACAAGCCGGATGAAGAGGCGAGCACATGTTACATGTTAAGATGCACGCACTTACAGTTCCGACAACCATGTAGGCGGCCTGTTTGAAAGGAAACTTTCCACACGAACTCGCGTGAAAACATTTTTTTGAACTTTGTATGCGGATGAATTACATATCTGTACGTTACATGTGAACTTGAGATTGCAAGGCAGACGAGAAAAAAACTTAACCAATCTTATTTGATATGCTGTCGCTTCATTCCGTGCGTACTTATTCCTAATCGTGAGTGATAATGGTTAAAAAAGTGAGACCTAGAAACAGACGAGCAAAAATATAACCATAAAGAATGAAAAATCAGTGTATGAGAGATTTGATTAAATGAATAAATAAATCTTTACTCAATACAATCAATTCAAACAGCAAAATGTTTTATTATAAATATGAAAATATGGAGTTAGATCCCAGCAAGGATTGGATATATATTAAAAAATATATATTTGTCAAGCCATTAAGGCTGATGAAATGCTTATTGAAATATAATAAAACGTCTTTTCATTTTATTAGCGATATCACTATTAAATCTTACACCGTATCATATACCAACATGAGCCCCGATATGAAGTACAATTTAAATACATAACATAAACGTGCACTGCATATAGTCTGAGTTATACAACGTAACATAATATATACATCAAAAAATAAGAAATGCAAGTATAAACAGAATAGAACAACAACTTAATTGTTCAACAATATTTCAAACTCATCTATGTATGTGTGTTAATGTATGTGTGTGTGTTCAGGTATTTGTGTGTATGTGTGTGTGCCAGCATTTGATCAAAAGAATTATTTGCCTTATGTTTATTATTATCATTATTGTTTAGAGAAATCACATCTGTTATTACTTACATTGTGCTTATTGTTATTGAGGTTGTACATGCACATTATAAGAGACCACCATGTAAGTAGCTCTAGCTAGCTTATATAGTTCTTGCTTCATAAAATAGTAGAAGAGTCTGTTAACATTTAGATTACACTCTGTTCTTTCTTGCAGTCCTATCAGCGCATTCATTCATTGTTAGCTTGGGTCTGTTTGAATATCTAACAATGTATTCGTGTATGTGTGTGTGTGTGTGTGTGTGTGTGTGTGTGTATGTGTGTCTGTCTGTATTGTGTGCATGTAGAAGAGCGTTTATAAAAGTATGCGTGTGTGTGTGTGTGTGTGTGTGAACGTGAAAATATAGCATATAAGTGTGAGCAATTTTTCATTTTTATGTTTGTATATGTTCTTCTGCTAATGCATGTCTCCACGTATGTGTAAATATTTGTTTAGGCACTGTGTGTGTATGTATACTTGAACATCACGGTGGCCAATATTTCAATAAATTTTTGTATTTTTTTTTTGTGCAGAGTTTGCTTCTTGGGTGGTTTCAGGAAAAATTTTCTAAACTGTATATACATACAAGTCTGTGTATATAATAATAAGTTATATATCATAGGTGCACTTTACATTTGGACCTAAATACACAAGATTTATATAATACGAACGTTTATACACACCAAACGAGCCATGGGAAAAATTTTAAATTTCGACAAAATCTGCCATGATTCTCAATTAAACCAGCGTGCAGAACTAACTAACTGCATTTTTTTTCTTATTCCAATCGAAATGTTTAACTTGAAGTTAAATCAGTAACAAGCACCAAGCCACTCAATCAGTAAATAAGTATGTTGTACTGTAGTCTTAGTCGGTGCGCTGACATATAAAATATAATGAACATAATTTCTAAATGACCTGCCCAATTGAATGTAAATTTAAATTGTGAACAATTGAAATGTATGTGGCACGCAAATAACTCACGGATAGAGATATATCATCAGTGTTGAGTCTTGCATATGTATGCATCATCAGGTACAAATTATCCACTGATAATCCAATAGATACGAAGGGGATCACCTGGTTTTGTTTAGTTGGTTGGTTTGTCATTAAATTTATTTATCCATTTTTATTCATTTAATCGTTCCTTTCTTCGTCATACACTCCTTCGTTCATTCATCTAATTTGAATTTTAATAAAAAAAAATGTCAAGTGCAGCCCATAAAACATGCAGTAACAACATAAAACAAACATCAAATCGCCACACACATACACATGCACACACACACACACACACACACACACACACACACGCACCACACACAAATGAATCAACGCGTTGTGCTAGAGTATGCCAGTAACTTTTATGCCTTTCAACTGATGTTTATGTTTTATGTAAAAAAAAAATACGCTAGCCAAGCAGCATGTAAATTTGAATCGATCAAGTATTAAAGCGTTCTCACGTGTAAAACAAAACAACAAAGACACTCACTGCACACACACAGTTAATCATAAAATGTGACGACCACAGCCCAATCATAAAAAATTTTACACATAATCATCTTCGTCATCATCATCACGGCTGCTATTAACAATTACAACTGTCACCAACGTCATGTCACCGCCTAAAACCATCATCATCAACATCATCATCAATATCATCATCAACATCATTACTATGACTGAAATCATCACCGGCGCATAATCTTCATTATCTTCATCACCATCAACATTAACAACAGCGTGTGATTATACTTATGAAAAATCAAACTTGATTGTAAGTAATCATCCCATCATCATCATCGTCTCTATATCATCACTTTAATATCATCATCATCACTCTCTTGCTCACACACAGACACACACAGACACACACACACACAAACTCTCACACAGAGACAGCGCTATCTCACTTGAGTGGTGATTGCGTTAAACTTCAACTCAAGGACAGAGCAGACCCCGAGTCCACTGGCGGAAGATAGTGAGAGAAGGAGGAGGCCGAGCACCATGGAGGACACCTGACATCGAGTTTTTCTCGCTAGGTTCGCCGATGTCACGCAACTGTATATAACCTGGTCATCGGGGAACAGATGGTGATAATAAGAATGATGAATAAGAAGTGATGAAGAGAAAAAGATGGGATGATGAAAATGATGTCGATGATCAATTCGTCAATTATAGAAAAATTATAAAAAATAAGGACCAACCAACACCACCTCAATAAGAAACTACAAACATAACCGACCAGACGAACCAACACGATCAAAATGATGATGATGAATATGAAGATGACGACGGCGATGATATATCATTTGATTGGATGTGGTGTCAGCGTATTGAAAGCTGATGATTAAAAGATTTGCTCATCTGCTATAAATTAGCATACATTGTGGAAACCATCTTTTAACACGCAACCTTAACACAAAAAAGATGTTCATCAAGTACGGTTTCAACACAGGGAAACATCATTCAATTGATTTTAAATATACTCCAACAAAAACCAATCTCCCAATAACTACCAACACAACTATACATACATACATACAAGACTGAGTTGATTGCTGACTTGTGTTCATGACAAAAAAATTGCCAAAGAACCAAGTTCTTTATTATAGTTTTCTCAAGTTCATTGATTGATCGATTGACTAATTGATTTATTTGTTTAATTAATTATTTAATTAGTTATCTAGACAAAATTTTTCTATTATAGGTGAAGATTAAAAAAAATAAATGATTCGGATTTGAAAATGATAGTATCAAAAAGCTAAATGAATAATTAAGCCGAGTAACTAAACTAAATTGCACGAAATTCATGCACATCCATCCGTAACATCCATGCTGTTTAATCAAAGTGGAGAGGTTTTCTTAACAAGATTTGTTTGGCTCGGTTTAAAAACGTCAATGAAACAACAGAAGTAATCGCAGGCAGGTGTTACTGCGCCGCGTTGGATCGAATCACGAATTTCGATTTATTTATGTCCGCCTGCATGCGATGTTGCTTCTCATAAATTATTATTACATTTAAATAAAATACAAAAGTCTGCAATAAATACGTACATCTACACATACGTACGAACGATACAACCAAATTGAAAATGTAATTTATTG